GGTTTGGAACGGGGACAACCACCTGTGACAACCAGCTGAATCATCTCTATCCATACAATCCTCCGAATGGAAATTCCAGATTTAATTAATGTACCTTTTGCTAAAAATATAGCTCGATCCTACCACATATAAACAAACAACATGACTGCTAGGTCTATACACATCTTCCGTAACGTTACATTACTATGGTTGACTTGTATTATTGAGCAACAGATTTGAACTCATTTCAAAAGCATCAAAATCTTACACCCAAAGTTGTTTAATGATTTTAAAAACAATTATAAGGAATGACTCTAATTCTTGACAAATTTATTTGAGTATAACAAGGGTTTGGTCAGTTTACACAATTTCATAATCCGCTTCGCGGATTCGCGAATTTGAGTCATTCTTTAAATATATTAAATTTCCTTTTAACCATTAGTGACTGCAGAACAAGTGAAGTGGATTATCAAAAAAAGCGTAATTAAACCCAATCCAGGTTATACTCGTATAATTTTGCCAAGAATCAGAGTCATTCCTTTTGGTTTAATTTCAAAATCATTAAACATCTACGGGTGTAAGATTTCGCTGCTTTTCAATTAATTTGAATTTGCCGCTCAATAATACAATCGTAGTAATGGTAGTGATGGAAAGCGAGAAGAAGTAAAAACTGATACATAGACATTGCAGCCATGTTGTTTATAATGTGATAATAGGTACATTTATTAAATCTGGAATTTTTCACCCCGAGGACTGGAAATGAGAGGATTGCATGGATACAGATGATTCAGCTGGTTGTTAGGAGTGGGTGTCCCATACCAAACCAGGTTATACAGATATAATTCAATTTTTATTGTAATACATGTCATTTGATTGGATAACAGGTTTATTTATTTTGTATAACATACGTTTACTACGTCACAATGACCTATACGTCAACAATGCATTGCTCCGCCTGACGTTACTTTTAAAATATGCTCAATTTGAAGCCAGTTTTGGAGGAGATGGTGTCTTATTGTCCACACTGAAATTAAATGATAAGGAATGAAGCTTATTTTGTTTTTGCTTTTTTTTTTCAAGAACAAATTCTACAATTTTCTTTCAGTACATATTAAATTGGAGGACCTTATCCCATATGATGATCAAAGAATAGCATATATGGCGACTCGTCTTCACAATTCCAAAATCATTGTTTTATGGGGAGACCCTGGAAGTGGTAAATTATCTACAGCGGCTCAAGTGTTTAATTACTTCGTCAAAACATGGAAATGTCCCTTTGAGTGTCAAATTCTTGAGAATATTTTCAATCTGGAACAATACGTAATCAAGGAAAAAAATAATTTATTTATAATCCGTGGACTTATAAAACGCTGGTACAGACAACACATTTGGACGGCAGATGAAGAAATAAAGAAACTATCTAGCATGCTGTCATATATGGGTGGTGTTTTTGTAATTGTTTTATCTGACAATGTAAGTTATTTTCAAGAAAAATATTATTCAGGTCATGAACAAATCATTGAATATTTCCAAATCAAATGTAGAAAGCCGGAATTTTTATGCAAACTTTCAAAACGCTGCATACATTTTAAAGATGAAACTTCGGAAATTACTTGGGAATTGGCGAAGAAAATCATTGATGCAGAGAAAAACGATATTGGTGGCCCCGAAATTGTCACTTTGTTGCTGAAAAACCAAAATCTTTGGAAGGAAAAATCAGAGTTTATTGAAAAACCATTTTGTTCCCTGGCCAAAGATTTGAAAAGAATGTTTAAATCTGAGGAAGAAAGAGAAAGGTCAAAGTTCACAATTTTAACCTTCCTGCTGATAAACAGCGGCAAAATTGATACAAAATCTTATGACGAGTTAAAAATGAAAAAAATGGCGGAGGATTTCAAAGCTTTTACAAAAGGATTAGATGAAGTTGATAAAATATGCAAAGAGCTGTTACATGAATACCTTGAGCAAGACCAAGACGATTCATCTTTCAGGATTCAACACGATATTTTATTAAGATGCATTTTTGTTGTTGCAGCAGAGACCGTCTTGGTAAAACTGATTGATAAAGCGAGTCCAGGGGTTCTCTTAGATTGTATCAGACCAGACACTAGTAAACTCGTAACAGAATTTAAAAATATTACAAAGCTTAAGATTACTGTTAAGCAGAATCTGGAGGATATGACGATCAATGTTGCTTTTACTTATTATTGGGATATAAGTAAAAGATTTTTGGAGCTTGTAAATAATGGATTCCCTGATGTAATGCGGCATGAATTTTTCAACGATAAGAAATTCAAGGAATGTTTTTCTTCTCCGCAGAAAAAAAATAGGAAAAAACATTAATCACTTTTTCTTTTAAAAACATTAAGATTTGTAACTGCCAGTGAAAGGTGTTAATTAATTAAATGATTAATTTTATAATTTTAATTGAATAATTGTATATCTGTCAAGCAAATCAATCAGTTAAGATCAGTTGTCATTTCTGTTAATGATGGTTTGATATACTGTATACTGTGGTAAATATTCACCACCCGTTTTATATATTGATTTGTCATTCGCCCTTATCATGCGTATGTCGGCATATTAAAAACGGGGCAATTCGAAAAGCACAGCAATATCTCTAAACCGGATAGAACTAGACCTGGGCAATTTAAAAATGGGACAAAATTGTTCGCAAGAGCGAAAGGAAGAAAATACTGTAGGCAAAAATAACCCTATATATATATAGTACATATAAAATATGAGGTTTGAGTTAATTTTGCGGAGAGACAAAATAACCAATACATGATCAGATTTGTATAGTCACTAGTAGATCACATTTTATAACTACTTAACATCTATTAGTTGTTATTGAATAATCAGCAAACTTAAGATCATTTTTCTCACTATAGCCGTTGTCTCTATCAAACTTTTCTTTTAAAATATATTGTACAGTGCGAGTATATGGATTCAAACTATGCACTTCCTTTTGTTTTTTGTAGAAATTAAAAAAAAAAAAATTCATTGGTTAAAATGCTTGTTCGAGGCAAAGGAGATTTTTTTTCTCAGAAATCTTTTGAAAAAGATAATACTTGTGAAATACTATAAACAGAGTATATACTCTTGAATGAGTTTATAACGACACAGTCATTAAAAGGCGCAATATGACTGATAGATAAGATGTTAGGGAAATAATATATAAATATTGCATGTAGTTGAGTGTAACATTGAAAATTTTCACCCCAAGAAAACCATTGTCAACCGAGGCGCAGCCGAGGTTGACAATGGTTTTCGAGGGGTGAAAATTTTCAATGTTACACTCAACTACATGCTATATTTATTACAGTATATTATACTGAATGTTTTATACAAATACATATTACAGTGAATCGTGCGCTCATAATTATGCGCAGTCGCTATTTTTTGGAATACCACCCGTCGTTAAGCTATGTTGACTGTTGCTACGCTGGAGGGCGTGGCTTCATTATTCAGCGGGTAGTAGTGTTTTTTAACAAATGTTTCTCGACCAATCAGATTCAACTAATTTACATGAAAGTATAATATTGTTTAATGTTCTTGCTTGTATTTTGTACCGAGACATCCTGTTTGGGAATCAGAAATAAAAAAAATTGTAAATTTATTTCAGTTTTTTGTTAAGAAAAAGATCATCCTGATCCTACATCTTTTGTTTTGGGGTCCTGCATGAACTGCGCCCTGGATTTTTATTGTTCAAATGCACTTAAAAGCTGAACACGACTGGTAAATACGCATACGCCATTTTCGATATCATAATCTACAATACATCAACACCAGGGTATACACTTCTTATTTGTTACACCTGACTGCTTTACTGTCAAAGGTATCGGCTTGGAATGGCGACCCGTGTTCGTGTAGGTTATCTTGCATTGCCTTTGTTTACATTTTATTGCAGTAACGTGTATCTGTTTTGTTTGTACAACTATAATTGTACGTTTCTTTGGTATCTTACTTTCCTGTATTAGACGAAGTATTAAATTTCTCGATAACGAGAGCTGTACAGCATACGTCCGTCTACACCAGTGTCGACTGAATACAATGGACAGTGTCTAAGTCGAACCCTATATATAAGGGTCTTCAGATATAGGGAGAATCCGAACAAAAATGGCGGACACATTCCTTTTACAAATCGTGTTCAGCTTTAAGATTGAATAATGTTTGTTTCCTCTTTGCTTCAGTGCACAATCAAAGTAAAGGTAGTGCTAAGGAGAAATAAATTGATATACAATATCTCTTTTAGAAAAAAATAGACTTACCTAAAAACCAATTGCAAAAAATATCAGATATACATGTACATTTTAAGGTTATTTAATGAAAAGTGCCACTTTTTCAAAATGTAGTGGTTTTCAATGTGTGATACCGCTTAATAAATTATTCATTATTTCATATAGATGATAACAATATAAAATAAAGCTTCATATGAATTTTGTTTTGTGATATTTTGAAATGTAAATTTAAATGGAGTGTAACCGAGAGCAAGCCGAGATCTACTGACTGTGCACACTGTCATATGCATAATGAGATCTATCTATCATAAAAAAAAATACAAAAAAATCATTGAAACTTCTGCTTACAATCAAATGCTGAGAATAAATTTAAGGAAATTGCTACCGATGTCAGCAAATATATTGTTTATTGTTTGGATTTTCAGGGGTGACTGTCATCATACTTCCAGATTTGTATAAATTTTGGTTTTCTGATCAGCACAGTCAAGACGTAATAAAATCCTTAACTCAAATCCGATCAAATAAGACAAATTTGCACATCATAGCTACATTTACAGAAAATGATATGGAAACGTTTTTAAATTACTTTCCAGATAAAAACACTAACTACCCTTTTCGGAGAAGAATGCGCATCCATTCATCATCAAAAACATTGTCAGATATCGGGAGAAAACATCAACTTGATTTAAAGGAGGCGGAAATTGATAAAATAATGACCGTAAAGAGTGTTTTGGGTATGCCCCTCATTACTTCTTTGTTCTGTAAGCACCTTTTGTATAGAAATCCACATTTTTTAAGCTTCCATTGTTCCTCAAAATGTCTGATTTAAAACGCATGCGAGATTCATCTGATGAGCGTATGAAATTCCGAGTTCTAGAATACACAATGTTAAATGTTGGAGAGGAAGACAAAGAGAAATTAGAAAACGATATTGACCATCCTTTGTTTGACGAAATAGACACTGTCGACGATAAGCGAGGATATATCATAGGATGCATTACCCAGCTTCTTAACGGATACATTGAGGAGACACGAACAGCCTACAGAATTCTACACGATGTCATCACAAAGTGTGTGTTCCTTGTCGCTGCTGAAAAAGAACAAGATTTACTGTTCAAGGAATGTAATCGTTTTCTTTTATTTAATTGTATTCCACTGAAATCAAGGATGGAAAAAATACGGGAGAGCGGTAAATTTTCATTTGATGACAATTCATTGAGTATGGGCATTCCATCAGAATCATATCCTATAAATGTTAAAATTTTTAAACAAAGAAAGGATATATAGTGCCAATGCTACCGAAAATGAGATTATTTAAAGATATAATTTTTGAAAAAGGAATGTGATTGAAATTCAGTAAACAGGATTTTCACTTTTATACCTCCATCAAACCCTAACAACTTTCTAGATCATTTATTAACTATAATTTCAAAGGAATTCCCTAGTTTACAACCCTATCCAAAAAAGTAAATACACCTGTAATATCAATAAACGTTATAGTTCGATCCCAATTTATTATTTAATAAAATAAATTAACATGATGTAGAGCTAGAGTCAATTGGCAACAATTCTTTATCAATTCTTTATTTTATCCTGCCTAGCTCCCAAATCACTCCGTGGTTTTGTTTATCTAATGTAACCTGGGTGGACTTGTTTATGTTGGTAAAACCACCACACATATAGTCCATCACTGAGTACACCTTGTAGAGAACGAGAAGAATTTTGAAATACAAAACTAGGGACAGCCTTTCCCTATGGATGTAATGACAATGACGATAGTGTTGGAAATCTTTCCAGTCCATAGCATAATGATGTAAATGTGATGGGACTTTTTAACCATACACAAAGAAGTAAGCAAAGTCATTGGCATTGGTCTTACAATAAACCTTTAATACACTTTGTGTCTTATGATTCTTTACTACCTTATGTAAATCAACAGTTACGTCTACATCATATTCGCACCAATCTTTACTCTGTCCCTTTGAAAATTTTATTAAAAAAAAAAAAAAGTCTTCTTGAAAAGGTCAAGGAAAGTCCATTTTTCATTTCCCGACATCTGAATATAGGCTCTGATGTATGATTACGGATATTGCAAATTATAGGCTTTTTAAAACCCCACGTTTTACTGAAGGAAATGCAGCTAAAACAATTCGTTTTTTCTCTTAAACTTCAAAATACCAATAAAGGAATTGACGCCGTTAATATAAGTAATATTCATAATCAAAAAAAGTCCAGTCCTCTATTCCACCATATTTCAAGTTAAAGATTACACCTTGTATTTCCTACAAATATACATCGACCATTGCTAAACTGGTGCCAAACTTTTTAATTACAAAAAAATCTTTACATGGCCTGGATATCTGATATGACCATAACGCTACAGATCCCGTAATGCAAAAAAGGTGCAATTTACGGCGCAATATTTTTTGCGCAATTTTGGGGAGAATTTCTCCACTTCCCAACATCGGTCAATTAACTACCTTTCATTTCCTATTTCTGGGCACATTATTGAACTAATCTGTACATTTTATCCATCTCCCAACCCTTTATAGCCGTCTTTACAAGTGATAAACTCGCTTGATTAAAATTACATGTATTTGTTAGATTGCTGAAAATGTTTAATGGTTGGAAATGTGGGTAAAATATAAATATTGGCTACAGAATGTGTCTAGAATTAGGGAAGGAAAGGTAGTTGATTGACCAATGCTAAAAAGTGGAGAAATTCTCCCCTAAAGTGCGCAAAAAATATTGCGCCGTAAATTGCACCTTTTTTTCATTACGGGATCTGTAGCGTTATGGTCAAAGACAAATTAAATAAAACCATGACGAAACAGCTAGATATCTGAGTTTCTGAAACATATCGTGTATATGTTCTTATTCACCCTATAACTATTATCCTGCTGGACACGTAATTACAGGTGACATAAATATTGTTAACAATAAAATAAAGACGTTAGATTACTTATTTTAAAAGGTCCTAAATATAGGGAACCCAGATCCTTCAACTGGCGTTGGAATTTCATTATCATTATGGATTCTGTTGAAGATTACGCCGGGCGATGGGCCAGATATGAAAAAGACGTTGACGCCTTGTCGGAATGGATTGCATGTAAATGTATCAGATCCAGCATGCACATTTACGAAAATTTCCTAAGATTGTTCATAAGAAATTTCCTAAGACTTATCTTAGGAAAATCTTAGGATCATCGTAAGATTATCGTAAGTTGTTTTTCAAAGCCATCTTATGATTATCCTAAGCTAAGACGTCTTAAATCAATATGACATAGAGATACTCCTGCATTTAACCACTGTTAGGGAACAAAGAGTTGTATTTCTTTGCTATATATAATGCTACACGTTATATCATCACAATGAAAATATTTAAAAGAGTGAAAATTTAAAAAGAAAAATGATTTTTTTTTTTTTAATTTATGAAAATAAATAATATTCTCTTAATTATTAAACATCTTAATTCGACGATATACTGTAATGTCGGTTTCATTTAAAATCAAATTAATTTTAATTTGCCAATTCTTGAACGATGAAAAGCGCGCCAATTTTCTTCGTGGAGCACTTATTCATTGAAAATTTTTTGTTCGACAAGAAAACACACAGCAGGATGAGTCGAAAGAGGAGCCCTAATTTTCCTCAGATTGAGATCGAAATACTGGTACTGCTTGATGAGGTGGAGAAACACAGCGCCATTTGCGGGAATGATTGTCGGTTTCATTTAAAATCAAATTAATTTTAATTTGCCAATTCTTGAACGATGAAAAGCGCGCCAATTTTCTCCGTGGAGCCCTTATTCATTGAAAAATTTTTGTTCGACAAGAAAACACCCAGTAGGATGAGTCGAAAGAGGAGCCCTAATTTTTCTCAGATTGAGATCAAAATACTGGTACTGCTTGATGAGGTGGAGAAACACGGCGCCATTTGCGGGAATGATTGTTTGTACTCTCATTTCTAGTATAGAGGGCGGTATAAACACCTGTGAGGTCACCAAAAAACATTATAGTAACCATATAATCTCTCTCTCTCTCTCTCTCTCTCTCTCTCTCTCTCTGGTTAATTAAGTGAGAGTAAATAGTTTTATTCTGTTGACAGGTTACATCTATAATTCTATGTATGTTGTGCATACACTGAATTTCACAAGAATTCTAACCATGGGTATTCTTGGAAAGTAGATGCATGCAGACAGGGAATTTAAAATGGGGATAGGGGGGTCCAAACATACTTTCATTTCACCATAGTAAATGCTCATTGAAATACCGCCCCTTCCCCATTTTTTTGTGTTGTATAGTAAAATAAAGGTAATGTAGTAGCGTATGAAAAAAAATGGCACTGAAAGAAGTTGGAACCTATACCCCCCCCTTCCTCCTCCACAGCATGAAATAGGATTTTAGAGCTAGAAAATTTTCTGTTTTTTCCGTTTGTCAAGTTTTTTTTTAATATAAGTTGGATTTTTTTCTACAGCTCCATCTTTCAAAATCGATGCTACATGCCTGTACGTCCCTCAGTTATATCATGTGTAAATGCAGTACCTGTATGACTGTTTTGAAAATAATTTAACATCTGTGGAAACCACATGATATACAAACCAAAAAAATCCATGATTTTTTAAAGATATATTCAGCGTTGAGGTTTCGGGGGGTGGGGTGGCGGTGGTTAGAAATGAAGAGAAATATTAATAGTGTGCAATATCATTTATTAGTCAAACTGTATTACAATTGTTTTTATAAACACATCAACAAAAACTAATAGTCTTATCAAACATAAAACAAAATTTATATATTACAGTAGTAATTTTTAAAGCTGAAAGTCCTGTGAGAAGATGACTTATGATTCGAGCACTACTGTCTTTAACGGTCCCGGTATACTGTAATCAGTCTCTCAAATTCTTACCGCATCTCTAAATACTCTGTCATGTTTGATAGGACGATTTCATCGAGCCAGCAACAACATGGACGCGGCCATTTTTGCTTAAGACAGACTTAAGATATGTCAAAAGCTGTCGTAACTTTAAGATTATTCTTAAGAACTTTCTTAAGTTACGATACTTTCGAAAACCCATTTTAGTCTTAAGAAATGTCGTAAGTATATCTTGAGACATTTCTTAAACCTAAGATAGCTTCGTAAACATGCCTGCAGATCTACTTTTGTTTTCATATGAAGCGGAATTTGTCCAAAATTAGTATACGTGAGAAGAAGAAAACACTTGCTGTGGCCTTCAACTCGATATTTAGATGTATCGACGAGGTATTGTTAATTAACACGTACAATGAGTAATTTGCATTCTTATGTCGATATGATACACACTGGCGAGCTTGAGATAAAAGATACCACAGAGTCTGACACATTTGTTTCATATTTGGATATTTTACTTGAAAAGGACGTTAATGGTATTCTAACAACCAAGCTCTATGATAAACATGAAGTCTTTAACTTTTCTATCATCAACTTCCCTTATTATGCAGCATTATACCTTCATCATCTGCATATGGAGTTTATATATCTCAGTTGATTCGATACGCAAGAACATGCTCTACGTATGAAAAATTAAAAAGAGATACATTATTGACAAACAAATTGATGAAACAAGAATATCAGCAGTCTCGTTTAAAGTCATCATTTCGTAAGTTCTACTGTCGAAACAATGGACATACCAGCAAATACAATTCATCATTGAGTCAAATGCTGGCTGACTCTTTCATACTATATATAATTGTTAGTCCATTATTTAAACACTGAATTGACGACGGAATTTTTCGTTAATTCCCGATCATAACAAGGTGTCACCGGTTGGCAGGGGATGCTTACTCCTCTATGGTACCCGATCCCACCTGTGATGTTTTTGAGGTCCGTGTTTGTTCTGCTCCTATTTTGTATTGTTTCATGATATCTTTTATCTTGAATACTGTTCGTTATCTCCATATGAACCAAAATCCAACAACAGACAACACTTGCTATTTCTCAGGAAATATATGGAGATGATTAACGAACAGTTTTCAAGCTCACAAGTTCATGAAACAATACAAAATAAGGAGCAAAGCAAACACACGCTTTCAAAACATCATAGCCATAGGTGAGATCAGGTGTAACAGTTCACTTCACATCTGAAAAATTAAATAAAGCCACGAAATTCCATAATGTCACATTAATCAATCTCCTTTTTGGTTGACACACTCCGAGTACAAAGATTCAACTAGTGATAAAATGCGAAAAAACTTCAAGCCAGTAATCTGAAATATATAAATTTAGCCACGAAATTCCAAAAGTCGATCGGTTAC